CACAGAAAGCTGATAGGAGGTGTGCTGGTCTGTACAAGATAAATTATCTAATCTTGTTCAATCTGGCAGTCATAACAATGCAATTGTGTAAGTCTCACTAAAATATTCAGATAATTTGAATTTAAGACTGGCCTTTAGGCTTATTCCATATCCTCGAGTGCACAGGTTTCCTGTTGGTTTTGCCCTCAAAAAGGCAACCAGCCAAGCTATGGCACTGGAAGTAGCTGTTGAGCTCTATTGTCTGGGTTAGGGTTAATCACAGCAGCTTGCTTCTTTCAGTGCTGAATCATCAAGGGGAAAAAATGTAAGCTTGGCAGTAAAATATGTATGTGTTGCATTGATTTTCAAGCTTGCCTTTGCAAATTAAAACCAGAAGCGTGTATTATAGCAAGGGCTCAGAAAGCTTGAAATGGCTTTTCTCCTCTTCAATAAGTTATTTTATCCATAATCTTAAATAGAAGCTGTGCTACTGAAAGGACTTTTGTAACTCTGGTGGAATAGTTAGAGTACAAAAATAAACACAAAAATTTGAAAAGGCTGTTCTGGGTCAGGAAGAAAAAGGTCTCTCTCTGTACCAAACTGTCTGTGGACAGAACTATGAGAGGAGGTGGCACTGTCTTCCTCTGAGTCCAGGGAAGCCTCTGCTCAAAAAGTGGAAGAGGTTTAGGGTCTTTTAAGCACAGAAAAAGCAGTGACTGGAGCCTGCAAAGTTTATCTGGAGACTTGAGAAACTCTGTATATCATTGCCTGTCATTCCTCTCATGAAAAACAGAAAGTGAGTAGTTGAACTCTTCTAGCTGGCATTGCTGGAGCTTTGACAAAACAAGCTATAATGGGTAGGGACATGGATTTGCTGGACAATTCTGTGTGCAGAGACACAGACTCAGGGGTGCAGGGCTTCAGGAGCTAGGCATGCAGCTGCAACTTGGGAGCTGGCCTCAGAGAGTTTCCTGCCGCTTGCTCTCCAGGCAGGCAGGCTCTGGCCCAGCTACGTGCATCCACACTTATTTATATAAGTACATGCTCTAGAGAATTATCCTTGGCCCTTGCAGAGCCATATCCTTCAAAACATAGGCAAGCATTGGTGTTAGGAAAAGGCTGAGCACCACATCAGCACACACATTTAAGACTTTCTATAAAGGTCTTGTATAAACCTTTTCTGTCTTTTATGTGTATTAACTCCTGATAATCTGCAAGCTCAAGCTGCTTCACTCCTGGGTGTTTACATGACAGAGCAGTGCTGATGTATGGCTCACGTGGCAGCTTGCAGGGGGCTGTGGTGGGGAGAGGCACTATGGTTTGGGCAGAGCTGGCCTCTGAGGCTGCTGATGAAGCTGCATAGAGAGAGACAGGGCGAAAAGAGCATGGTGTGCTGCAAAAAATGTGAGGGTTAGGTTTAGGACCCAGAAGGAAGGAGTCAGTTTTGCTGCTAGTCAGTGAGTGAGTCTGGTAGGTCTGAGTTTGTAAGGGACATCCTGGGCCAAAAGTAGTGGAAAAGCTTTATCCTCCATCAAAGAATCACCCCTCTGTACCACATACTGACATGAACAACTTCAGTTGCCATGAGAAAGGTTTATATGGATTTGGGTTCCTCATCTAAAAAAAAAAATATCTATCCTCTTCAGTCAGCAGCTTTCTTAATGAGCTATGATGCTTAATGGCTTGCCTCTCCCTATAAGTATGGTAACAGTAACCAAGCACAGGAGCCAGGTAGCACAGTCTGAAACCAGAGCGCTCTTTATCTCTCCTGTGCTAACATCTCCTCTTGCTCACAAAGCGATCCAGTCCTCTTGTGAACCCAGCTATGGTTATGACTTAGCAAAATTTCACATGTCTCTTCCATCAGCTATCCATTGCTTCCCAACACCCTTTCTTCTGTCCAGCTGGGCAGCAAAGAGACATTTGCTAAACACAGCAAGAGTGCTGTTGCTTGGAGAGCCAGAACGGGGGGAAGCAGCAGCGCTGTGCTCAGACTCTGTCTGCTGCATTTTCCTTTGGTTTCCTCTGCTTGTTCCAGCGTGTTGCCAGAGTACCCTTCTGCTCCAGCTGACTATGTAGAATATTGAGACACTGGTGAGAATAGCTGTGTGCCACGTATCAAACTGGCTGATGGCTATAGCACTCCTGTGCAGTAACAGCAGTTTGGAAGGCTGTGTGCCTCACTTTCCTTATTTGATCAGTGTATGTTGGAGAGACGGACAAAAAGGACACTTGGAGCTTGGTCATGGAGCCACCAAAGGGGAAATGGCTCATACCTTTGAGGAAATGCAAGCAGTCATTTTATGCTGAGGAGAAAAATAATGTCAAATACTTCTTAGCCTCCCTTCAAGATAATGAAGAGGGTTCACTGCTAATGACTATGGAGATAACCAGAGATAGTGTCACTCTGATCACTAGGACGTGGCTGAACTCAAGCCAGTCCCATCCACACTGAATTTTCCACCCTGTGTGGAAAATTTCACTGGCTCCAGACTTGTGTCCGAGGCCCTGCAGGTTGTGGGTGTGATGATGTTGGGATATAAGACTATACAGATTCAGGAAGGAAGTGACACCCGGTTTTATCAGCAGAATTAATTGTTGGAGCTCTTACTAACAAGCAGTCACTCCTTTCTCTTTCCCAGCTAGAATTGGACAAAATGCTACTCCTTGATTATCCCCAGGTGTAAAACTACGTGGCTGAGATGAAGTATCTGGCTGAGATGAAGCTTTTTTAGAAATGCCTTGACCTTAATAACTGACTTACTGAGGGGATTGTGCCTAAGGGAAACACTGAAATCCTTTAACAGAAGGCACTGTTGATGAACCAGGTATTGTTTATTGCTATTACCATAATGTACCAAGCCAGGAAAAGAGTTTGTATGGATATAGTTTTTTCCAGCTTGCTGCTTACCAGAATTTGCTGGTGTTGGAGATGGGCTGTTTCTGCCAGTTCCAATTCCTCATTTATTTTATGACATGATGTGGATCAATGGCAATGCATACAATAGAACCAGACTCATTTCCAATTAAATGTCTCCCTCCAAGATAAAATTCCAGGGTTCATTTTGTTGTCATTATAATGATTTTATTTTGGCTAAAGAATGATCATGTCATTAGGAACACATATGCAGATGATTACATTTCAACAAATATGCTGGGAATAGAAGTTTAAACTTTTCTTCGTAGGAAAAAAAGAAAAAGAAAATGTAATGAATTTGGTCTTATGAGGATAAATGCTCAATTCATGAAGTAGCAACATAGCCAGATCCCAAATACATCCTAAGGAAAGCAGACCTGTTGGTGTTTAAAAAGCTTGCACATAGTGGCTTAGCTCCTGTGAGGCACTATTGAATACAGGTCTGATACCTTGGCAGCAATATTTTTCTTTAGTTGCCAGTATCAGAGAAGGGTAATATAGCATAATTGACTGCAGGAGCAAAAAATGCCCCTCCTGGGTCATCAAACCATGTTCCTTCAAAATCAAGAGAGCTTCATTTATTTGACCTAGTACATAGAAAGCTAAGGGGAGCTGATTGCTCTCTGCAAGCACACAATGCAGACGTGCACCAGGGAATGCAGAGAGCTATTTAAGATAAAGGACAATGCTGGCACAACAACACATGGATATAAACTGGCCACAGATACTTTTAGGCAGGAAATTAAAAGGCAATTTCCAGCTATTAGAGGGGAAAGCTTTTGGAAAATCTTTCCCATGAGAGTAATTGGGGAGGGAAATAATTAGTTTTAAGATGTTATTAAAAGGATTATAGAATGCAGGTGATAGAGATAGGATGAAGTAGGATGGGGAAGAAATGCATTCCCTCCTATGCACCAAAGGCTTATTTGCTTTACAAGAAAGGTATGCACAGCATTATGTGGGATCAATAGGTTTGTCAGAGGAAGACCCATAGGGCATCTCGGTATGTACAGAAGGGCTCACATGGACTTTTAGACTAACCCAGATTACTAAAGATCTACATTTTCCTTATTGAAATTTCCTAGGCACCTAACTTACTGTTTTTAAGCATACCTAGAAATAATGCCAAGTTGTGAGGGCTGGGTAGCTCAACATCTCTTTCAAATATAGGCCTGATTTCTTACACAACCACAGTTCAGATATATTATCAAATCCTCCCTTTTTAAAGTGGATCAAAGAGTGGCTGGTCAGTGTGCTTGCCTGGCCATGACCTGCACCTGATCCCTGCACTCTGTCCTGTCTACTTATTAAACTCCATTTCCAAATCTTTGCCTGGGTGAGGGTCTCTCTTTTTCTGTGTGTGGCTGGGGGTGTATGGGGCTCCACATGCTAGCGACTAGTGACCATGGTTCAGAGGATCTCATGTGTCTAGGGTGCAGCAGTTGGGGGGCCAGAGCACGTGTGCCTTCTGTGTATGTTGGTGTGTGCAATTACTAGCAAACACCAAGCTGGACCAGCAGTGGACAGGACAAAAGATTTTGGAGCTGGGTATTTGAGCAGCCGAGATCCTGGGCTGGATACTGAAGAGACTGGAGGACCTCATGTTTGGCTACTAGAGGAACCAGAAGGTCCAAGTGAGTTATTAGGAAGACCCCTGTATCTGGGGCTTGGCTACCAATGAGACCCTAGGTCTGAGCCAGCTACCACAGGAACCAGCATGTGTGTCAGCACATGAGGCAACTGGGACATCAGTGGACCCAGGGGTTGGCTACTGGGTATACTGAGGTTGCTGAACTACTGGGGGATCCACAGTCTTTTCCATCAATGGTCTTTCATCTTTATTAGCCAGAAAGGGGAATAGGTTGATGTTTTTGGTGCTGGTTGTGTTTGCTTGTACTGTGTTTTCTCTTTGTGTATGTACGTATGTAAATATGTGCCTGTTGGGAAGATGTGCTTGTCCGTGGTGTGGCTGGACCTCAGAACATAGAACTGCAGCAGCTTCTGTGGAGCTACCAGATTGGACAACTCCTAACATGAGGGAGGTGCTATGGATACCTGCCCCATAATACTTTTTTTTTTTTTCTATTTACTTACAGGTCAATGCCAAACTGTGCAGAAAGGTATGATGTAACTTTGATCACTGTCCTCGGAGAATCTTGAAACCTTAAGTATTTCTTTATTATTTCCTGACAAGTTTTCTAATGTTGGTGTATAGTAGATCTTGCACATAGAGAGATGGAAACTTTACAGAAGGTAGGATTTGGCATTTAGTATTTGTTACCATCCAGAGACATAAGCAAGAGGAAGAGGCTTAAACGTAGGCCTGTTACTGTAATAGCCAGCAATTTTATGAAGAGACATCTCTCTGTTACTCCCTTTTCACCTCTGAGTGGGTGGAAGGTATTACCGACATTTATCCTTCCTAAGACCTCTTAACCTGATATCTTAAAATATATTAGGTTTATGAGAATATATGTGTAAATGCATTTATGGGCCTGCTTGCCTATGAGTCAAGTCCCAGAATAACTTTTGAACTCTTTGGGCAATTTTAATCAAACTTCACAGAGGAGCTACAGTTTCAGAGATACTAGTCTTACAAATTTTGTGGGGTCAAGCAATGAGAAGAGAAAACTTACTGATACCTTACCCACTAAAGAAAAAAATCTGTATGATCCATACTAAAAGGCAAGGTGTGATATCACATACACTTCATTTAGGAATCTGAGTTTTTCCCATGTTAGATACCAGCAAATTCATACCTCAACAAGGGTTTTTTCTCTCTTATGGATTCTCTGTTGTTTAATAAGCTCGAACTGTGTTCTTAATTTAAATTACATAAGATTTAATTGAGTGTGAGACAGCCTTTCCTTTGGAAACTGGACTTTATTAACTTTAGTGGTTTCCAAGCTATTTGTTAAACGAACTCCCATGCGGGCCTGGTACTCCAGTGTTTTCTGACCAGAGATTTGTCCTTTCATTGCTGTTTAGGTATTGAATTAACAAAATAAATCTTATTTTAGGAACAGTGCTTATCAATCACGTAACCACTGATGCCCCACCAAATTGTCAGATACCATTTGAATTCTGGATGACATCTACTTGCATCAAACTGTTTGCAATCAATCTCCAGATCAAGCGTATTTTCCATCATCTTTCTATGAGTGGTTTTAGACATCAAATTCCTTCGAGGGTGTTGCAAACTGCCTTCAGTCTATCTGTGAGCAACAAAAATAACTTCCTTGAATGTGTTATTTGTTACGTTGTCTTTGAACTATTAAGAGTGTCAACAAAGCAAGTTATTTTTCATATGTTCATCTCCTTTTCCTAGCAAAATGTGCGGACATTGCCTTAAGTTCTTGTACTGATGTTGCCTATACTCAAACCATGTATCCTAATTTTCTGGATCAGAAGTCTCGAGAAGTGATTGAATACAGCTCTGAGTACATCCTCATCAGCGTGCTGCACAACTTGCTCCAGGGAGAATGCAATCCGGACCTGAGGCTCCTGGGCTGCTCAGTGCTGGCTCCGCAGTGTGAAAAGGACAAAGTTATAAAGCCCTGCAGGCATGTTTGTGAAAACCTGAAAAAAAATTGTCTCCCTGCTTTTGATGCAATAGACATGGCTTGGCCCTACTTCTTAGACTGTGACCGCTTTTTTGCTGGAGAAGAAGAGGGGTGCTTTGACCCACTGGCAAAGCTGCGAGGTAAGGAAGGAAGCTCTGCTGACATCTTACTTGTCTAGATGGGAAGGGTCTCATCTCACTCAGCTTGACATGTCTATTGCACAAAACATCTCAGCTTGTCATTTTAATAGAGGCCTGTAAGGTGCGATTCATTTTGTTCCACCTATTTCAAACACTTAATTAAAGTGTGCTCAAGAAGCATGTTTCCCTCCCCCATACAAAAAGAGCATCAAGACAGGCAGCTCGGAACTAGATGTTTAGACTGCCAATGTGCATTTAGATAAGCCCTGCCCTGTGTGATAGCTGTCTGGTTATTTGAAATATTTTCTTTAAAAACTGAAACTTTAATGCGCTCATAAATTCATGACTGCTTGAAAAGCTTAACAGCTCATTAAAATAATCTCATTAGTGATTGTCATAGATTTTTGTTTAGATGAAGAAGATCCAGATAGCTGAAGGCAGGTGAACCTCATGAAAAATGAATTTGATCTACAAGATTCCAAGGGAAAAATCTGTCCTTTTTGTGACTAAAACGTACTAAACATGCCAAAGGTCAAATTATAACTGAAGATTGCACAAAATATTTGTCAGTGTGCATACGCATTAGTACAGTTTTGCAAACAAAATTTGCCACAATAAACAGCATAGGATGTACTGGATAGATTTAAGGTTTTGATCGCGGCTATATTTTCAATAATTCTACTACTGAAAAAGGCGTTTTGTGGAAGAGTACAGACATTCATGCAATGCTCTGAGCACCATAGTTTTAAACATTATGTTACAATTTTTCTTTGCAGAAGTAAATGTTGAGGAAGACTTGCCTCCAGACTTACCAGCAACTTTTATTCAGTTCAAACACCATTCATATTCCCAAATGGTGAGCATGTTGAAGAAGACAGCTTCTAAATGCTCCCATATTGCAACAACTTACAGCATAGGTCGCAGTTTTGAAGGGAAGGATCTTTTTGTGATTGAATTTTCAACCAAGCCTGGACACCATGAACTACGTGAGTTATGTCAGTGTTGATCTGGTTGTGGGAACTCCAGATTATGTGAGTCAAAAATGGTCCTTCTAATGGGATATCACTTAAACTGTAAAAAGCATTGATTCAAAAACATTTCTTGTCCTTTGTGGTCCTGAATTACAGTGATAGCTGATGATTCACTGTAGCAATTACAGTACGGTTGCGGTTTCCTAACTTTATAACCTCATTTTGTGACCATGGTTGACATTCCTTGTTCCTAGATGTATGACTATGTACTTGGTTGCAGTGATGTGACTATGTCTTATTTGTGCCCAATGTACAAAGACATTTGGATAGTCTTCTGTTACTGACCTACCCTCTCCATCATCTACCACTTCCTCAGTCTCCTTTTATTTATCACTGTACCATCAAACCCTACTCACTTCCTACAAGTAACGCCTGTGCCTCATCTAAACATAGTCCTTCACATCCCAAAATATGCACAACTTGTGAGAAGTCCTCATATACAGAAAGACCTTGACATTAAAAAGAGGCAGTGCAGCACAGAGAACAGTCCTCCTGAACAGAGATTCAGGTCAGTGTAAGAGGTGGATGACACCTGGAATTTATGTCATCATAGTGCCTGCTCATCTTTAGGATATAAGTCCTCACAACTCTTCTGCAAAGGAGAACAGTGCTGTTCTCTGTTTTGTAGATTCATCATTGAGACAGCAAGGACCAGATTTTTAAATGTTTTAAATTCTTCAAAATGCAGACAATTTTCTTGGGTACTATTAGGTATTATTTTCCAGTTATGAGCTCCCAGATCAAATATAGTGCCTGACTAAATCTGGTGGACTGCTATGGCCATTGTTGCATATCAAGAGTGTCAGGTTACTTCTCATCAGACTAGCTCCAGCATCACAGCGGCCTCAGAAGTGTAGCAGAACTGAACTACATCTCACTTAATACTTTATTGAGATTATTACTTCAGGTCAAGCTACTGTGTCAGAGGAGACAGAGAAGAAAGCAAAGACTGATGTTAGCTTTTTTTGCTCTCGGTTACACTATCTACATGGTGTGGAGGTACTTTGAGGTCACTTTAAACTTGATCAGGATCCTAGCAGTTGTCTTTAACAGAGTACAGATCTACACTATCATTTTCTGGCCTATCATCCTTTCTTTCTTGTGTAAAGAAAAGAAGTTGCAGGTGTCTTTTTAAGCTGATGTTCTATTTGCCAGGAAAACACAAAGCCTATGAATCTGGCTTTTAACTTAAAACTGTGACATGGCATGATAAAAGATGGTAGCTTAACCCATTACCTAGCATTTCCTTCTAACTCTGTTGCTTCATGCTGCTCAGAACAGCATAAAAGAGGGTGGAAATAGCTCTAGAGCTGAAATTTTTGCTAGCCTGAGCAAGCTGACATAATAGCTCTGTGCCAGTCCTTCTCCAGTGCCCAGTACTAGAGGCTGGCCAGGATCAAAAACGGCGATGAAGGAATAGACAGGAAAGGGTGTCTTCAAAATGTACCTATTTTCTACTTTCCATTAGTCCCTAAGGAAGGATGGAAATTGAGAGACTAACTGCAGGGAATTGTGAAGTTGTATGTTTCTAATAGTCTTATTCCAAAGCTATTTTGCCTAAAAGGCACTTTTTATGTATGACCTAATTTCTGTTCCAAGTAGAGAGGTTATTTATTACACATCTGCAGGTTGTTTCTAGGAGCTGTGACAATATAAGACATTGAAGCCGCCCAAGGTAAGTGAGAGTGCCAGGGGTGTATTTTGTTCCTTGCCAGTCATGGCTTGATGGTTTTGTTTGCAATATTCTTTGTACACAATTAATGATGAGTCCAGCAAACGCTCAGAGTAATGATTGCCCTGTATGTAGGTCTGGAATCCTGAACGTATGGATTTACTATATTTCACACTATTTAAATTGTCTCTAAACTGACTTGGGATAGAGGAAAATTTACCTGGAACTGGTATACTATTTACAGAAACGTATGCATTAAATTAGTGTAAATAAGACTTTCTGACTCATCAGTAAGCTATTTGGGTTACTCTGCTTTTGGAAGCCATCCAGGTATATTCAAATTAAAGCATGTCATTACTTCATATTCCACAGTCAAGCCAGAGTTTAAATACATTGGCAACATGCACGGAAATGAAGTTGTGGGGAAAGAACTGCTGATATACCTCGCACAGTATCTGTGTTCAGAGTATCTTCTTGGGAACCCTCGCATCCAGACCTTGATTAATAATACCAGAATTCACCTCCTACCTTCACTCAACCCTGATGGATATGAACTGGCTGCAGAAGAGGTAAAAGCCTTTTCATAAGAAAATGTTCAGGGCTTCATGTTTCTAAAATTCCTCATGGGAAAGGACAAACTGGGAGGGGAATGTCACATATGGGAGGGAGTGTTAATAATTCTCAGCCAGAATCCCAGGCTGTTTTGGTGGTAGGTTGCTTTCCAAATACGGTGTGAACAGAGCAAAGAGGAAATCGGAGCCACGTTTGTGATTTTTGCTGTCTGCATGCAATGATGTGGGAATGACTGCATTACTTTTTCACACATTTATCATTCTCTGCTATCAGTTCGAGAACAAAATGTCCACTGACTCACTGTAATGACTGTTAAATTACTTTTATAAGGAGATGTAGTTTAATACTGTGGAATACGTGTTCTTTTAGAAGAACGGATATAATGAAATCTGAATATTTTCTGTCTCACTTTCACAGAGGATAGCAGTTTTCAGAGATCAGCTGGTGTCTGAAGGAGACCTGTAAAAGCAAAAGTTTTATTATATGTTACCTGATGTTCTTTTTCTTTCCACATTGCTTTTATCGCTAGCACTGCTAGCATGAAAATAGGACCTTTCTTCTTCTGCTTTGCTCATGCGGTGAGCTCTGTCTGTTGTATGAGTGGGTTTATTGCATCCTGCCTGATCTTGTCTCTGAGTCGCAGCTATATTTTCTTTTTCTCCTCCTCTGTTCCTCTCTGCATGCTGCTCTGTGCTGAGTGAGAAGCTGCTGTGTTCCTCTCATGAGTCACATCACTGGTGAGTGAAATGCTTCCTGCATGCTAGTTAGTGCATTAGTATCCATGGGGATAAAAAATGATTAATAAGTGTGGTTTTTCAACAGTATAAATGTTTTCAGTTTACTTCTTTCAAAATTTCTTCTTGATTAAAATGACATTTTAAACAATTTCCACAAAGTGGTATTTCAAGACAAGGAGTTATTCTGAGGTTCGCTTTTATGTTACAAATTAGGGAGCTGGTTACAATGGATGGGTCATTGGACGACAGACAGCTCAGAACTTGGACCTGAACAGAAATTTCCCTGATTTGACGTCTGAGGCTTACAGAAGAGCTGGGATTCATGGGGCCCGCCTTGACCACATCCCCATTCCACAATCCTACTGGTGGGGTAAGGTATGAATTACAGATTTTATAAATCACATATACTACAGAGCAACTTAGGAATTAATAAACTGAGATTGCTTGGTCTGAAGTTATTCTCTGGTAATCACATTTTATAAGTAGGACTGAACTGGATATGCTCGTCTTTGGCATTAAAAGTCATGGTGTAGGTCTGGCCAAAGAGACAAGTGTCACAAATCATTGAGAAAATTAGTGGATAATTTGGATTTTGGTATTTTAGATTAAGAATAATGACTGATGGAAGGGCGTCACAAGTGCATAATGATTCATCATTAGTGATTTAAGCTGTGGTAGCACGTTAAAGACTTTATGGATTTGGCTCTCACTGCACTAAGCTCTGCACAGGTTTGATGCAATAGTGGTTTCTGCTTGGGAAACATATGAAGGCTTCATGTCAAGTTGTGTGGCATCAGCTTCCACAAAAAGTATGTTTATAAGCGACTATAATGAGCTGCAGCAATGGAAACAGCCTTTCAAGCTGCAGCGGTGCTGGAAAGGAGAGCTGCTGCTGCTTCCAGTCATGGGGAACAGGATGAAGGCAGCACTTTGGGGCCTCACGCTCACATGGTGGTGTTGGGTTGACAGTTGGACTTGATCTTAGAGGTCTTTTCCAACCTTAATGATTCTGTGATTCTGTGATTGTCACTGAGCTCCGTGCTATGTGATGTCCAGGAATGCAAAGCTCAGTCCTACCCATGCCACTGGCACGCCAGCAGCCCCTAACACCTGCGACTCACAGTGGAACTTTGTTCCCCTTGAAAGAAGAAGTATGAGAAGTCAAGTCAGTAGTTCTGATACTGGGAGCTCTGCTTTTCTTCTGGTTTTAAGTTCATTTTATCAAAATTAAATTTTTATTGCTGGCACAAAGCCTCAGAGAGGTGGGAAACAGGATTGTTTCAGCAGCTGGTATATTAGAAGATTTGAGACACCATACTTCAGTTTTTTTATTCTACTGCAGGTGATCTCATATGAGGCCAGGTCTAAATCCCAAAGACATTTCTGATGCTGTTCCAGTGTTTTGTTACTCCATTTCACAGTAGTAAAATCTGGATAAAAGTGCCTCACTTCCTCAGGATAATGTACATGTGATGATGCAAGGCTGTGAAAAACTGAGTAATGCACACTGTATTAGACCATTGATTTTCAATGTAACTAAGTTCAAAAGTTTATGCTATTTTAGACATGTAATTGTACAGATCCCGGCTCATAAAACTGGATTTCTACATGAGTATAAAGTCGCAAGCTTAATAGTTTCCAACTTTTGACTGAATAATGACAAATAACTGTGAGCTGGTAAATGCAAGTAGAGCGTAGAGCCTCAGATGGGAAAGAAGAGTATGTGGAGCAGAGCCTGAGGTCAAATGAAAACAGCTGGAAAACAAAGGGATTTTAGGAGAAAAGTCTAGAGAGATAGTAGTTTTGATTCACCCCACTTGTGTATAGTAGTTTTCATAGCTGTACATCTAAGAACCATGTGTAGATATCAAACTGAAAGGTTTCTTCAACAAATGAACAGTGAATGAATGAATATGAAGAATCTTGGGAGCAGAATTAGGCCCAAGCTTGCAGATACCTGGAGTGAAACCACGCTGTTGCAATGGGACCTGAGCACTGCAGGGGTGAGCTCTGAGCTGGATGCACTGCAGAGTCTAAACTGGTCTCCCAGCAGGTTTACTTTCCCACGTAAGACTGAGTCTTGGGGCCATCCTTGTTTTCCTTTTAGGAAACACTCTTTCTCATTCTCTAAATCCAGAACTTGGGCTGCAGATGCTTGTGTTTCAGAGCAGTTCTCTGAAGATGGCTCACTTCAGTTCAGTATCTGTCATCCTGTTCCCATAGAGCAAAACAAAATTATTCAGTCAGTCAGGAAACTGCCAGCTTTTGTATTACATAATAAACATAAAGTAATACTTACTCAGAAGAACATGCTAAAACAAAAATATATAATAAAGAAACAGTCATTACAAACATACATATATATGTTTCTAGCTTACTGGGAGTCACTGCTATTTCAGACCCTCTTGCAGAGCCCATGTCTCTTGGTCACAGCTTCTCACTGGGTTCCTGATTTGAGGGCAAGTGTTGTCTTGCTCTCAAACTTGTCAAGGCTAGCTACTCCACACAATTGCAAGTCTGTTACCTGCTAGGCTTTTTGACCCACATCAATGTATGTGCTTTTCTGAGGAAGATGCTTACAGAAAGATGTTCCTGTCTTAGGAACATGAACTCACAGCCATGTACTTCAGTTCTTGCCAAGGTTGTAGAGCTTGCCAAGCACTGTCACCGGCCTGTCCATGAAGATGTGGCTCATGAGTCAAATTGTGTCTGCAACATCTCACTTACCAGAGTCCTTTCTCTGCATGGCCCTTTGCAGAATTGGTAGTGAGGGTGTCAGTCTCCTGAGAGCTCTTTTGGGCTGTATTGTCCCCTGAGGTACATGCAGACAGGTTAGAGGAGTGCCTGGCATGCCTAAAAAAGTAATTGAAAATTATTTTGGATTTCCATGGAGGTGTCCAGGAGAGCTGCTTTTGCCCTTTTGAACTGGAGGTAGTGGCTGTGCAGCAGACTGAGGTATGAAGGACAGAATGGAGATCTCCCTCCAGACATGTGCTCACTCTCTGTGTTCAGAGTTGCAGGGTTGAAGGCCCAAGCATCACTGGGGAAGGACAGACATGGCTTTTACCCCTCTTTGTGCCAGTACCCAGTGCAAGCTGTGAGCATGTCTCACACTTTGCAGCCCAGAGTCCCCGTAACTCTCAGGATTTTCTGACTCCAGCCTCTCCGCTCCCTCTTCCAAGTCCTGCTTCTGCCCTGGTTCTTCTGATGGTCTCTGGGATGGTCAGTGGTAGGTAGCCACTTGCAGAAGTCAGTTTTACAACCATCTATTTAGCTTTCTTAGATGCTGTGTAGCATCATAGCAATTTACAGAGGGCTGGATGAAGACAGCCTAACATTTCTCCCACAGTTACCACCTCTGCTGCGGCCAGCTCTGCCCCAGCTGCAGTGTGCTGGTCACCCTGGGGTGTCTGTCACCACAGATGGGACCAGAAAACCTTGGCACACAACCACCCTCTGCCTGAGCTTTGCCTCAGCGGGTGCAGGCCCGGGACTGTAAATACATCCCTTCTCCTGCAAACCTCTTCTTGGTTTTGAAGAAGAAATAGAATTAAGGCGATGGTCCGATGATTCATTCCTCAGAGCACCAAACCTCAGTAAACCTCTAGATGCTCGTCTGACCCCAAAGTAGTTCCTGACCTAAACAACACCCAAAGCATCTCCAGATCTATGTGCTTTGCAGAACAAACCAATTTGCCTGTGACCTGGATGGCACCACAAAATCTCCTTGACAACTGCATCTTCACATGGGTCAGAAACCAGGCAGTAAGCAGTGTCACAGCCTCAAGTCCCTCTCCTCAGCTGATGGTATCACAGGACAGCCAAATCAGCTCTCCCGAAATGAGCTTCAGTTTTGTCAGGCAGATGAACTCGTGGCTCTTACAGTAGTTGGCTTTGTGCATTCAAAAGCATTAGATTGGATGTTTCAACACCAGCCTCTCAGCTTTCATTTACTTAATAGTGTTTATTACCTGCCTTATTAAAGTAATTATCTGAGTATTGCAGGGCATTGTATAAAGATCAGAAAATGGAAAGTGAGCTCCCAGCCAATCCCATAAACTCAGGAGAGCTCCTGCCTCCCGGTAACGCTTGCTGTGCAGTGTGTTTTGTTCCCGCTATTATGAATTATTATAATAAGTGGTCTGAGGGCTCAGACTGAGAGACTTCAGGCATTATCTGAAATGAAGTCAGTTAAATTGGCTTCACTCAAACAGAATTTGGAAGCCTGTGCCAGCGGAGGCTGGCATAGTCTTTAGGAAAATGAGTCTGGTTGTTTCTAAGAGGGAAAAAAGAAATCTTTGAAAGCCATGGAGACAGTGACTAATTGCAGTATAATTGAAAGAAATTAGATTCAAATTTTAAAAGGGTAGTAGACATTCCCTGCACTTATGCAGAAATAATTTAGCTGTTTTCTAACTGTGCCTTAAGTTCTTCTTGTGAGATGGATACTTTAAAATAAATCTCTTCTGACTGAAAACCAAGAGCCTTGGTGAAAAAAAATTCAAAACCCACAAAACCTACATTAAAGGAAAAGTCTATGAATAGTCAAAGGCCAGAGTGACACAGATAGCATCTGATATCATCCGGTGAAGCTGAACCAGGATGTGCACGTTTCAAAGCCTTAATCACTGTACATGATGTCACTGAAATGCTATTAGGATAAAAATAGTGACATTGAAACTCTTGATTTTCCACAACATTTGTTTCAATCAGACATTGGCTCTGTGACACAGGAGTGTCTTGTGGGTCATGCAGGTATTGAGCGAGCAAGATGGCTGATCAGGGAGAGGGACATTTTACTCGTGTAAAACTGTGCTTTTCACCCTCTCCCACTGAACTGCAGGAGCAACCTAAAAATCTTCGTATTGAGGCCCGAGACGCCCATTTGAAAGGGCTGATTCTGGCAACAGGCACGCCCTCTCTGGCTGGGCAGCTGCAGGCAGAGCAGGGAGATGTTGAGACTTTAGGGCAGCATCTTCCTGGGGGGTGCTGGTGTTGCAGGATTGAGGATGCAGGCTTGTTGCCAGCTCCTCAGCCAGCCCTGACCCCCTAAGCAGGGGCCTGTGGGGCAGGCAGTGCTGCTCACAGCCCCTCACAAGTCACTTGAGGGCTTCTGTTCTTCAGAAGAGGTGGGCTCAAAGGATGAACAAAGCACTATAAGGATTCAGCTGAGAGTGGCAGTTCAGTACAAAATCTCCTCGGGATAAAGACCATTATCAGACCATCCCAGGACACTGCACAAAGACCAGAAAAGGAAATACTTGGACCACTGCAGGTAGTGTTCTTCGGTCACTGCCAGGTTCCTTGTTATGAAGCCCAGTGGGCTGTTTTCTTCTCCTACCTCTGTGTTGTATGAGTGGGTGTGTGAGACTGCAAAAAGCACAGAGCATTTGCCCTTTCCTTCCAGAGTGCTCTTTATCTGCCCTTTAAAAAATATTTTTCAGGTCATGCCCTTTCTGGAAACTCTGTGTCTAATCTTCCCAATTATATAAAAAGCCTTGGTTGGGTTTCTGGTGTGCAAAGTGCATTCTGTGTGTTCCTGAGCTGTAGATACTTTACCTGTTACAACTGATCTTACATTTAGGTTGCCTTTTTATAATACCAAGGTGGAAAGGATTGCAGCAGAGATTTAGAAGCTGCCACTGGGGTGACAGATAAAAAGGACCTGGCCTGTTTCTCCTGAGGACAAGTGGGACAAAGTGGCTTGCATCCATGTGCTAACAATAAACTACTGATTTATTGAAACACGTTACAACAGTGGAAACCCTCAGGTCCCTCTCTTTTTCACAAGTACAGGTCTTTTCAAATAGCATGTTTTAAGGAAAGCTGACAGCTAGGACTCAGTTGATAACTACAGCATCTGAAGGGAGGTAGCCTCCTACCTAGGTGAAGGATAGGCAGGGTGATACCTTCTTAAATCATTCCAGGTAAAACTGTATTTAAATATGGCTTTTTCTTGAGATCCTTTGTTTTCTACCTCATTGCTGAGAGCTGTAATACATCCATGGTGCACCGTTGCTTCACAATGGTTTCCTCTGCTTCACACCTAGGTTTGTGCTGCTCACTGCATCCCCAAAACTGTGATTTACCAATAGCAGAATAGGGACTGATTCAAAGAATTACTATTATTGCAACCCAAATGTCTTTACATTTTTCGTTTGTTTTGTGGGTTTTTTTTGCCTGCACACTGCTGACTTGATTCCCTGTTACTAGTCATTAGCCACTCTGGGCTTCTGGCTGGAGGATTTTCTAACATCTGTTGCAACCAAAGCAAAGGTTGATATGCAACATTATCAGCAGTATACAGATGCTGCACTAAGTCTGTCATAACAGATAATTGCCCTTTTTTTAAAAAACCTGCATACCTGCACTTGTGTAAAGCAGAGTCCGGATGAGCAGCTTCTGCCCTCACCCACTTTTCCCCTGGTAAGTTCAGAAGCTGCAAGGAACAGAACCTCATTACCTCCTCCACGGGCTGTGCCTGGGCTTGCAGGGACCGGCCACCAGATGACACTGTTACCCCTAAGAATTAACCAAAAATGAAGGAGGTCTGCGAAATTACTCCTCAGAAAAAGGGGATGAAGGAACCTCCTGCATGCCTGGGGGAGGTGGGTGCCTGGGCATCTTTGGGAGTCCGGTGCCAACTCCCTTGACCACTGTTACTGAGCATGGGCTGCCAGAAAGACGAATTCTGTGACTGGTCTGCAGCAGTTCAGTGCAGGTAAACTGCAGTCATTGATGTGCTTTTAATGCATTAGTTTTTGTTTATTTGCAGGTGAACCTGGACCAGAGGATAGCAGATGAGACAATGTATTTCCAATGAGGGCTGAGAATTACAAATTGATCCCAGTATTCCAGTTTATCTGTCCAAAGTCAATCCTGCTGATTCAGAAATGAAATTAGATAAAGTGTTTGGTTTGCAAGTAATGTATGAGACCACAATTTTCCAAGCTTAAAATGCTGCCATCATCACTTTGAACTACTGAAAGTGTCACTGTAATAAAAAGTTATTCCCCTGTCGAAGGTTTTCTTTCTTTGTCTCCAGTTTTTCCACAGTGAAAAGTGTGTCTCATCTGTTCACTGAAGCAAATCAACAGTCTTCCCCCATTAACCTTTGGGATGGAGAGCCAAAAAGCCTCAGCATTCTCCTTTCTGACACACTCCCGTCTCCACTGGGCTTCATCCTGCCCAGGATCAAATCTCTTCAGAGCTGCATGACTACTCACAGCTTTTTAAAATTTTCTTCTGGATTCCAGGTGGCCCCTGAGACGAAAGCAGTCATGAAGTGGTTGAGGTCTATCCCATTCGTGCTTTCTGCCAGCCTCCATGGGGGTGAGCTGGTTGTGACCTATCCTTACGACTATTCAAGGCATCCTATGGAAGAAAAAATGTTCTCCCCTACACCAGATGAGAAGGTAATATTGTTTTTGCAGGTTGAGCATATCAATATGGTTTCCACATGTAGAACTATGGAAACTTTTTTATTTTAACAAGTAACAAACTTTGATTTAGTTAGATTGTATACGTGTGTGTGCATGTGTGTACTAAATGTGTAATAAATCACATTTACATATTTAATGCACACATATATATAAAAATATAATTTATATACTTATTTAATGTGCTTTAAAATATAGGATCATTTACAAACATCAGCTTGATCTGTAAAGATTTACCCATGTTTTATGAGGCCAAACATAATTTCACAAGGCACAGGCAAGAAAAAGCCAAGCTTTTACTCTTTAAAGGGTGTAGGCTGTGGTATTTTTGCCACTGATTTCCAGAAGAAAAGGAACGAGCCTAACCAGCAGTGCTATTTTCTGTTGAGATCTATAGGAAAAAAAGAAAAAAAGCTGGCTACCATATGGTGGCAGCCTTGTAACATTTATTCCAGGTCAAATGAACGGGAATGGTTTTCCCCTCTTGTCCCTGGAAAGTTCCCCATTTGGGACTCACTGTAAATCTTCTGTAAAATTTTTTGCCATCTTACCTATTTCCCTTTGGTTTCCTCAATCTAGTATTCATTGCCTACATGCCCACTAGGAGAAGAGCTAGTTTTTCAGCCTGCTAGAGTATGTTAAAAATGTCCCTGGACTCTTAAGAAGAAGTGGTTCTTTATATGACAAACGGCAGTTGAAAATAGTCAGAAGTTGATCTTTGACTTGACACATCCGTTATCTTTGGGCAAATCTCTAGGCTGACTTCTTCTCAAGTGACGGTTCTTACCAGCACAAATTAATTATTTAAATATTTATGACTCTTAAACATTTTCCATATCAATCCACTTCTTCTGAGCTGTACAGTACCTACTGACTATGTGCATATGACAATTATTTAGCAGCAAAATAAACCAGGTACTGCTCAGTAAAAAGCCCACGTAAGAAATATCTGGTAGGTGATAATGAAAGCTACAGAAGCTCTTGCTGAGGACTAGGGAAAAACATAAACCTGTGTGCTTACATCCAATTGCCTGAGCTAGGGCTGTCCTGATTTATACATAACTGGTGGAGGAATATGGCTGTGTGTACCTTATCAAGCAGTTGGACTGTGGGGTGGAAGGGCAGCAGTCCCTCCATCATCTCTAGTCACGGACAGCATACAGGGGAGGGCTGGGGATGTCCTAAATTAAAACCAATTTTTCAAATGGGTCAGCACAGAAACCTTAACAATGCTATCAGTATCACTTTAAATTTTGCCCAGAAAGTTTTTAAACCTGTGCCGGTGAAGTGACCTGCATTTAAGTAATGTCATCTGCAGCTGCTGCTGCAGAAGAACCTGCATCCTGAAATACAGCAGCTTGTTTTAGCTGCCATACATTATCCGTCACCCCTGTTCTGACCACTGACATGTCCAATTTGCTGTGCAAGGGTTCATGAGGCAAGTTTATACTCTTGGCCACAGCCAAGGGTGAAATGCTGCAGTGCAGATAATGGCCAGAAATTAAAACATCAAATTCTACAAAGTATATTCAAACCAGGTTGTTCTGTTTGAAAGTGCTCCAGAGTACTACCACCTTCCCATGTCCCTCATGGTGTATGTGCAGTAGCACGAGGATCCTCTTGGCTCCTGCTCTAAGGCACTGTGGATTTCCAACCTCTTTAACCTGCATCACAATCTGAGCTGGTATCTGCCGAGACCAAGGACTCTCAAAGCTGAACGATGTCCTTACGCTCTCCTTCCTGCATCTGGTTCAACGCACCTAACCCTTCTTCCCTAACCCACGCACCTAACCCAACGCACCTAACCTAACTTCCCTATTTTTTGGCTTCTGTGGAGATGGATATTTTTAGCAGGCTCTTGTTGCTTTATGTTACACAAGAAGCTGTGTTGATGCCAGTGTTCATGGGAGTAGAAATGTGTGCACCAAGACAAGCTCACTCTTTTTGGTGAATGGAATCACTCCCTTCCCTCCCCCTGAAAAGCCCCACCTGTGACAGTCAGGGGGGTAAAAGTGCTGGCCAAGGTAACAGCACTGACCTCATTTTGCCAAATGAAGCATCACGCTTTCAAAGTCACAAGGATTCCTCTGTTTTTTCTCTTTTTGTTCTACTGTATTACACCTAAATGTCTACGATTTTTTGAGGTCCGTAACTAGTCATACATTAGCTTCTAAGTGATAATAAATGTATTGATATCCAATCACATTTTTACTTTTCTTCTAAAAAGTTTTAACTTTTTTTTTTAATCAAGTTTACTTGATTTTGGATTTCTCACTTTATTTTCTCACTGCCACCCATCTTTTTTCACTTACACTAGTGGCCGGGCAAAAGCCTTATGCCTCTTGGTGTGAAACAAGAGAAGAAAGACTTGATCACTGGAAATAAAGCATCTGCAGATGTCTTTGGGAAAGGTGAGGAACATACTCCTAAGTCTCATAGGCACCTTCTCAACTTTTAGCAAATGTCTTCCACTGAAGGTTCAAAACTGGGTCCCAAATTTTTGTAGAAATTGAAGTTACTGGGCCTGGCCCCAAACTACTGGCAGTAAAAGTTCTTGTTAACATATTTAATTAACATAATTTTCTTTCCGGCAGAACTTCGAAGGAGTCTTAACTGTCTGGGCTGAGCAATACTTAGATACATAGAAACTCAAAGGAGATGCAAAAGTGTTTTTTATTGAGTCAGAATTTTTAGTGTCTGGCCAACAGAAGTGTTCTGGTAAATTGTCTTTACACTTACATAACATTCTCTTTCCACCTTTCCTTGGTCACATACCTGATCCCATAATTGGCTCAGCTTTGTGATTATTAGAAACATTTGTAAATATTAGATCAAAGTTGTGTGCTTGGTCATTTTGGTCTTTATCCTTGATGATGCCATCAAGGATAAACTTTTAGGATCACTTCTAAAAATAGGATGTTAACCACCCAACTTCTTGCACATGTTGTCTTAAGCAGTATGTGGTGAAACTCTCGATACTGAGTAGTAGTATCTAGCAGCATCTGATAATTCATGTTATTTCAATGTTGAAATCTGAAATTATAGCTTTTGTAGATGAGGTTCAAATACACAAAAAGGAGAGAGGAGATTTCTGTACAAAGTTGGAATAAATGTTGGAGAAAATCGACAAGAACCTGATTCAAAGAAATTGTTTCTGCAGATAACTGCTGTTTCTTCTGTTTTCACTACATGTACCTGTCACTTTTCCTCTCTGGGTGACGACTCCTCTGCTCTTCATCAGTATCAACACTCTTAGGAAATCAGTGGTGACACCTTCCATCACCACATCCCATCCTTTGCATTTTAGGAATGGTTTCTGCCCCACAAAGAAGCAACTGTCATTGAGATCAAACTGGCAGGTTGTCCTGTGTGAGTGACAAATGCAAAGCAAGTTGACAGTGTCTATTTTAACAGCAGCAGCCAATGTGAAGATCTGATGGTGCTGAGACTGGTGTAGTTATTTTTGAAAGTGTAAAAATAGCAAGAGCTAAAACATAAAGGGGAGAGTTAATTTCAGTTTTAAAACCTGGAGCTTTAAGTACAACCATACAAGCCCTCTACTCCTGCCCCAGTGATAGGTTGAAGCCAAGTATCACAAAATCCACTGTTATTTAATGTAGTCTCTGGGTAAATTAATTGGATTGCAGAGAAAGACCTTGGAGAAGAAGACAAGAGAAAACATCCTGGGAGAATATCCTCACATGGATGTGTCACCCCCTCCATCAGCTTCGAGGACACAGGGTTGCTCATGGTCTGGGCTCGCAACAGCAATAGTTCCTGGCAACAATGACAGTGTTTGTAGTTTGTAAAAGAAATTGTATTTCAAACCCTTTTGTTACAGATGTTTAAACTGCTGGCTAAAGCCTACGCTGATGCACATCCAGTCATCTCGGACCGATCTGAACTTCGTTGTGGTGGAAATTTTGTAAAACGCGGAGGTATTATAAATGGTGCTGAATGGTACAGCTTCACTGGAGGTAAAACCACTTTACCATCATATCAAGTGAGGTAAAACCTCTAAATGACCTTTATGAGACACAAGGGTTTGAAAGAAATTATTTTATTCATTTCAGTTTGCTTTAGATCAGACCCTTGCAAAACGTAACTTGTAAGGGATTTAAGAAGCAAAAGGTATGTTAGTAACATTTATATTTGGATACCATGGAATGTATTAAGTCTTGATATGACCTGAAGAAAGTTAACAAGTTATACGAGTGTCAAATTTGTTATTGCATACTTTATAATTCTAGTTTTCAAATTTGAAATGTAGAAATAAATGGTTAATGCTATGCTTTCATTCCTTAGCAACATGAATTTGAATCCTTTTTGCAGACTATGCAAGTGCTGCTTTTTCAATCTGTTTAAATAAACACTTCTTCAGGGAAAACTACAACAGAGACAAACATCCCAGTCATTTGTGCTTAAGTTGCTAATTTGATTTCCTTAGTAATAGTATTTGATTTTCTTCAGGATTCCTGGACTACTGGCATGGGTGAAATACCAGTGTTCATAAATTTTCAGCAGTGCTTCAATTTTGTTTTCAAATAGGACTGAGCTGGATCCCCAAATAATTATGTTTAAACTGGGCATTTAGAAAGCTTTGGGGCATGAGTGAGAATTGGGTTTAAATATCTTTGGCTTGCATTCTTCTGAAAATTGTATCCAATGACTTTTGTACAACACAGTTTTAAACATACTGTGGCAAAAGGTCATCTCTTTGCTGGTGACCCTTGGCGATCACCTCTGATACAACCGATTATCCAATTACCATGATTAGCCAATCCTTTTCTCTCTATCGTTTTTTCTTGGTCAGGTGAATAATAACATAAAATGAAGTTTTTTCATCTGAAAGAAGTGTCATTGCCATTAGTTAATTCATAGCTGAAATGAGTTGTAGAACTCTGTTGAATACTTTTTATATATTGCACTATTTAATATATATTAATCCACTTCCACAGGGACTGCATTCTGCTGACCACAACAGCAAAGCTCCAGTTAAGGGTTACGTGGCTTATTCTTGATCTCTCCTTTTTCTTCTTAAACCTATAGGTATGGCAGATTTTAATTACCTTCACACAAATTGCTTTGAAGTTACTGTGGAGGTAGGATGCGAAAAGTTTCCTTTGCAGGAAGAGTTGTTTACAATCTGGCATGAAAACAGAGATGCCCTTCTGAATTACATGGAAATGGTACGGCTCTGCTTTTACAGATCTTTGTGCTTACAGATTTTCTTCTTCATTCTTTGTCAATATTCATTTCTTTACTGTCTCTCTGGTTAGTTATTATGATAGCACCTAATCAGTCATCACACTGCACCAGAGGCTCCAGTGTCTCAGTTTGCCTAGCAGTACACACAGATAATATTTTGCCTATATAGCAGGAAGGATGGAGTTGAGGACTGTAAAGGCCTTGAAAACAGTGGAAAAGGGAATTGTCTGCTAGTACTCTGTACAACTTTATAAATCAACTGTCCAAAATTTAATGCTAGAGAAAACTCACATATTCAGAAGAATATGAACCATAGAATCATTTAGGTTGGAAAAGACCTTTAACTTTGGCCTTTCTCTTGAAAAATAAACCAGGAAGATCTACTTTTCAGACAGCTTTTGAAACTTCTTCCTTATCATATTCCATGTGTGTGGCCCAAACCCTACTGCACAGCAGCAGGAGATTTAGATTCAGCTGAAATGGGGAGGTATCCCAGTATCTTACTAGAAACACTGTTTCCACACTTTTCAGCTTGGTTTCTTGATCAAAGTAGTTAAAAAAGATCTGAAGCCTGATCTTCTAAAGGAACAACTGTATGTCTGTGGGCATTAAAACATACCATTTAAAAGTCATTTTCAATAATAAGTTTAAGCGCAGCAAAAACAAATACCTCACTGACAATAAGTAAGTGAACACAGAAACAGAAGTTGCTCATCTTTCTCTCAGCCATTAGTAGATTAGCTTTCTGTCATGTCTTATTTTGATAGAGTACACAGTAATTTAAAATTGTTAGGAGTGGTTTTATGGCCTTTCTAAGCAACCTCTTGCTGCTTGTGGTAAGTATTATCATTCAATAAAGTCTGCAGTACAGACCACCAAACTCATTTCATTTTACAGCTGTCTGATGAAAATGAGTTTTAGTGAATCCAAATGGAGCTGGGTTAAATCCATATATATTGCAGTTGGAGTCTTCAAGATGTAAAGATTTTTATAGTGTAAGATACTGTAGAAATCTATGCTGGAAAAGCTTTTTGAGTAAATGCAGGACAGTAAGCAAAACAACTTGGTAGATAAGGTGACTGAATTACTCGTGATAAGGATTAAGTCTGCCATAACCAATTCAAACTTTTCTTATTCTGATATTTACCAGGCTGTATGGTGTGCAAACAAATCTATTTGACTTGACACACAGAAGTAGAATTCATTTTCATAAATGCCGATCTTTTCTTCCCATCAGAAGTGGTATCAAAACACTCTTCCAAATCTATGTGGCACAGATTTAAGGCAAAACAAATAATAGTATATTTACTGAAGCAAAATAAATCAATATTGTTAAAGAAATTTCAGTTTTGTCATGTTTATCCCATCATGTTGTAATTGCAAAATTATTATTGAAGTTGGATGAAGTCATACTACTTTAAGTATGTCTAACTGTAAATTAAATTTGAGTCTGAGTTGACTCTTCTGACCAGATTTACCGACTATCCATATGATAAATCCTCAAGTCCACGCTGAAAAGCAAATTGCAGTGCTTCATCATAATTGTTCTTAAGGGACAGTTTTCAAGTCCTTATACTGAGACGTTCCTAAATCCTCCAGTGAACAGTTCCACTCAGTATGGAAGAGCTATTTAGCAAGAGCAGTGACAACACAACCTTAAATAAAAAAACTGATGTCACTAGATTAGTCTTTTTTCTTCCAGCTTGGTATTAAAAGTTACTTATAAAGTTGGATATTTTAATGTTTATTTAATCTTTGTATTCCAAAAGAAAAGCAAATACATTTTCCCATTGTTTTGATGCTTTGTTCTTTATTTCTATTCTTCCTCTGTGACAAAGGATAATGGGGAAGGAAAAATGAGAGGAAAAGAAAGAACGATGAGGAGAAGTAAAGAACAGCTCAAGCTGATCATAGCCGTTTAAAGAAAAAATCAAAATGGCATTACTTTTCACTTAAAGAGGTCATATAGAATTTCCTATAGAATATGTTTTCATTTCAGAAGGTCACAAAAAAAAAGGAACCTTAAGAGTTTTACTGTTTAGTTTTGTTTTGTTTTATTGAACTTCAAATATAGTGAGCTGTTCAGGCACCTACTTGTATGACAGACTTCACATCACTCTTTAGTTAATAACCAAGCATGTTTCTCATCAGCTCAAGCAGCTGAGTTCTGCACTTGTAGAGAAGGGAAAAAGGATAGTACACATACTGCTATCATGGCATTCTGACATCTAGTAAAGTGTAGGCAGCAGAGCAATGATGAGTGCCAAGTAGCTGAAGAATTCCTTCACCTATTCCTATTCTTATTCACTGATATTAAATAATAATATTAACAGATTTATAATGTTTTATATATTGATTGTGTATCTTTGTATTTGAGAATTATTAACAAATATTGCATTAAAGATTTTACTAATATACTAATATAGAAGTATCCATCTTACTTTATTCTTATGCTTCTGCTCTACTTTAAATTAGTAACAGTGTGTCTATCACAGGACAGTTGTTCAGTTTTGATTCTTTAAGCAGTTTGGGACCCATTTAGATGCAGTGAAAGAAAATGAAAACTATATGTTTCAACTAAGATTAAATGCCTGGTTTCTTTTTGCAACCTGAATGAATGGATTCTACTGCCAGGATGGCAGTGTATTTTTTTGCAAGTGGTAGTGTCCAGAAACAATTCTGCTTTATTCTGATTTATTTCACACATCTTCTAGTACTCCACTTTGAATAGATTAAAGGATCATTGCTTCATGCTGTATTGGCTTCACTCATAGCACCAGTGATGCCTTCTCATTGTTTATAGAGAATAAGATACTGTTTTTTAAAGCCTTAACTTTTCATTTCTTTGTGGTTCTGGGTCTAGGGAAGACATTCAGAAGCAGTTCTTAAATACTGTGGTCAGATCATGAGGTGCCAGTGATATGTGCAGAGAAGGGTCACTCAGTGCAGAGCCACATACCTAGCCCAAAAAAGTTCTTCAGTTATCCCCTTCTTTCAACCCCCTTGGAGCTCCCAGAATAGAGGATGTGATCTAAGGGGGTTTTAGCACCCAAGAACCTCTATAGTGTGTTGAACCTCTTGGTAGTTGTTTCCTCTCTACAGGGGGTTCCTTGTAGAAGATGAGGAGGTGGCACTGCAATAAATGACTCCCATCTAACTTTGCTTTGCTTTGCCAGGTTCATCGGGGTATAAAAGGAATTGTGTCTGATAAGTTTGGCAATCCAATAAAAAATGCTCGTATTTCAGTCAGGGGCATCCAGCATGATGTCACCACAGGTAATATTTTTAGTTTGAGCTTTTTCCTGGGGCAGAGTGAAAGCACTGAGAGCTTAACCTGCAAAAATCTTGTTGTACTTGATATAAATGAAACCTTAATGGAGAACTGAAGGTTCAGCTGTGGGTTTGTTCCTGTAATAACAAGAAAGATGCATCAAACTGGGTGTTGAGTCTGTTGTGTCTCTGAGATGATGCAGTCCTTGCCATTAAAACTTCCACCTGAAGCTGCCAGCTGTCCGTCAAGGCCAATGTGTCTTCAATGAGATTCAGAAATCCACCTTTAAGTTTCATGTTTGGGGGAATATGGCCATAGCCCTGCTGTGGGGCAGAGACAGTTCTGTTGGTCCTGTAACTCAGCGTATGGAGACATGGAGCCCTGATAGTTGAAATACTGTGAGCAAGTGGTGTAGACATTAGAGTAGGGCCCACACTGACATTAACAATAGGGATAGCTGCAGTATTTGAAGGGCAGGCAATTTTTTTGTTCATGTGGAAAAGCATAAATACATGTGGTTTTATTGACAATAGTTATATCAAATGCAAAAAAACTAGAACATTGAATTATGTTCACTTTATATCTGTCGCCAGTTGATAAAAATGTTTTGAGGCATATGCAACTGTTAATTTTCACAGTCATAAAGTTCTGAGCTTTTAGGCTCTAACTGAAATCAATGCTCTCATTTTATTATTGATTTCAGTGAGAACAGGGTAGGCCATACGAGTGCAAAATAGAAGACATGAATGGTAACATTTTGCTCTAATGATAGTTGTTGAATCAATTCAGATGTCCAGAATGGTTTATAATGCAGTGGATGCTTTCCAGCTTTCAAAAAACTAACATTAGACGGGATACAATAGTGGAGATGTTGCAGATTCTTGAGGCTGGTGAGAGACTCTGGCATGAATTAGGATCTCTTTCAAACTCCTTCTCAGACAATGGCTTTCCATTGGCAGTGGACCTTTAAAGAATTAAGAAATAAATACAAAATGTGTTTACATTGAAAGAAAAACGAGTATTTGTTCTTGAGTTAGGTGGGGTTAAGAATGTCATATAATTAAAATGTCTTTTAATTTCAGTGTTTAAAAAGACTGTGAAATTCCATGAGAAAATGGCACTAATTCAACCCTAACTGACTTAAGAAACTTACCAAAATAAAGGAAATATAAAATGTAGCATCAGTACCCTGTTTTAAAACTCCCTGCTTTTGCCTACAGGCTGTAAACTTCTGCTGGAGGAAATTTACACCCATTTTACACTAATGGCAATTTATACCAGCTGCGGCTCCAACTCCATAGTCTTACATGCCATGTCTGCAAAGTAATTTAATGTAATATAATAAAAGCGGAGGTTTCTTAGCTCCTTAGACATGGTGTGTCTATATATATGTGTGTATATATTGCAGCTTGGGTTCTGCTTTCACTTTCTTAAGTTTCACATAATTTTAAATTAATTTGATTTCATTGGAGTTATTCCTTGTAGCTCTGGGAAAGCAGCACGAAGGAAAGCTTCCTGTCCCTGTGATACAGGCACAGCATTTACTGACCTTTTGATGTGAATTTTACTCCATTATCTCGCAAAGACCAGATTTTCACAGCTGGGGTCTCTTTTTGTCATTCAAGATTTTGCATCTGAATGTTTTTCAAAACCTGAATCAAAATCTGAGACCCTTTCAAACCTGCCCCCTAAGTGTTTGTGCTATCTGTGTATGCACATGTACGTGAGTATGTAACTATAAAAGATGCAAGACTAAAAACTAAGCTCAGTTTTGCTGTGCCTTTACTTTTCTCAAGCTGCTGATGGAGACTACTGGCGGCTCCTGCCTCCAGGGACATACATAATCACTGCCCAAGCACCGGGATACAGCCGGGTGATTAAGAGAGTCACCCTTCCTCTCAAGATGAAACGGGCCGGACGCGTTGACTTCGTGTTGCGACCTGTTGAGGCTTGGCCCAACAAGCTCCTCCGCCGGTCAATGGAAGACGTGTACGACCCATACGACCCGCTGGAACTTTTTGACCCTCATGCCCAACACAGGCAGCCCGAGGCTCGAGGAGGATCATTGGGCAGGGAGAAGCCTTGGTGGTGGTCTTACTTCAGTTCTCTAGACCTGCACAAACCTCTATGGCTGCTCAAGCAGCGCTGAATGCTCTGCTAACCTCACTCTGCTGCCTTTCTACCTGACTCCAGATGCCCTAACTGCTCTTGGCAGTATTTAAATCTGTTTCATTTGAAAATACAGTGTTAATTCAAGCGTGCTTACTTCTTCTGTTTTCTCTTCACACACAACTGACTATGTTGAAGTGTTTTTATACATTAAAAACAATGGTGCACACCCATTCAAAGGTCAGGTTTTATGCGTTTTTTGTCTTGGTAATGCTTTGTACTTCTGCCTATGTATCTAATCATCACATTCATTATTCATTAGGTTCTAAGCACCTGCAGGAAAATATTCCTAATCCTTTAATTCATTTTTGTACGTGTTTTAACACATTAATGACTATGTACTAAAAACAACTTTCAGAAACAACGTCCCTCTTTTTACATTATTTTAGCATATTAAGTCCAGTTCATTAACTCTTCTAATACATTTTTTTAAAATTTTTTTTAAATCCATTATGTGATATTAGCATTGATTTCATACAGGAAAGGCAAATCATTAGGAATTAGGAATTTGAAAATAAATCTGCATCCGATTAAGTAACGTGTTCAGTAGAATGGGTTGCTCATAGGAAGATCAACATCAATAATAGGATATTTTCCCAAGTAAAGTTTCAAAAGTTATCCTTTGAAGGCATGTGTATTAAAAGTGTTCAATCTTTACAGCCTTCCTCCTTTGAAATCTCCCGCACCATGAGAAAGTCCATCAAAATCAGGAAAAATGCTTGGAATTTTTCAGACTTTGTTCTGAGAACTCTGAATATCCAATCTTTTATGATGTTTAAATGTTAATGTAATTTGAACAGTTTTCAATCTGTTAAGCAGACAGGCTTTTAATCTACTTCAGCAAAGTACTGAAAAATACTTTTACTGCTGGATAAATGCTCATCCTATGGTGTAGAAAAATACATGAGGTTTGTGAGGAATTTAGATTAAAATGTGACATATTACACTAGGGTTGTTAACATCATGCACTGTTTTGAGTCTGCATACGTGTTAATAAAACTTGTAGACACCAAAGAAATTGCAAACTTCTTTTCAAGATAGTTGGGTAAAGCTAGGTGAATAGTGGTTTTGCAAGATGCTATCCTCTCTCAGACATTAGATATATTTCTTTGGAGGGGTGATTCAAAAAGTATCCTTAGTTTTGATGAAACACATAGGCCCACACTTATTACTTGAACTGAATAATGAACTCACTATTTCCTCATTTAAATGCCAGAGTATGTGAATAAGGTAATTCTTTGCAGCTGATGCACTTACTGTGGGAGCTGCTGGATTAGCTTTCTGGATTGCTCTTTAACTTCTAAAAACTTTTTTTGCTCATCTTAGGTAAAGAAGCCCACATTGCATGGATCCTGTAGTCCACGTGCACGTATCTCATACTATAATTACCTAAGAAGACCCAACAGATGAATGATTGTAATTCTGCAACCAGATGCTGCACATGCCTAAGTACCTTATTCCCAGTTGTAATCTGGTTGAAGTTAGGAGTCTGTTATTCATGTGCTTGACTGTCTGCAGGTCTGGACACTATATGAAAATGAAAGAAAACAATTTCATATCATTAACAAAAAGTAATTTTCTGCAAATGAATGTACCGCATGCACATGGAAAAGTGTTCCTTGCCCATGCTTGCCAAGTTGGAGAAAATCTGAATCCTAAATATGCCAAAGACAAGCAAGAGATATACTTCCAGACTTTATTTCCAGTAATAGGTATTACTGCTGCTTTCTGTGGTAATTTTTTTTTAAGCCACTGTCCTGTGAGAACAGTGGTAAAGCTAGCAAAATCAGAACAGTATGCCAGTACTTATGTATACTTACAAAAGTATTGTAAGTGGCAGTGAAATTTAAGAAGCTGTAGGCAGCTCTGTAATTAATGCACGAAAATAAACACAATTATAAGCTCTCTCATGCACCTCTCTGGAAGATGCTCATGTGCAGAGTTTAATGGAATATAAAGTTAGGAGAATATTAGATATTTTCTGAATAGGAAGAGGGATTTAAATGTTTCAGTGAAACATACTTGCTACAGCTGAAGAACAAGTAGCATAGGAAACAAGTGAAACCCAACCAGAGCTCCCTGGCAGTCTCCATCATGCTTAAACCCTGCCTTACAGACTGGGCTCAGCCTTTTTCCATTGCTACTTTGGAGCATGGCAGGTTCAGCAGCCAGATGGTGCTGTCAGGAATTATAGTGTGCGTTCATGAGACTCCCTCTCCTTTTAAGTCAGAGTCTACATAATTTTTTTCAGTTGCCTTCCAACCACATATTGAACAATATTGATGTATGTTTTTGTAACATCCTCCTTAATAATTAATTTTCTAGTCTCCACATTCGTTTCAGAGGGGATCTTCTCCACTATGGAGCCAAATTTTTTCTGCAGAAAGCAATCACATTAGTAAACATTCTGACCTGTCAATTGTCCAGACCTCATTGCTCTGCCAGCAATGAATTTTCCCAACAAGTCAAAGTGTGCAAATCTAACAACACTACAAGCATGAAGAGCAAAGAGAAAGGCCTGCTTATGTCATATGTGCAATTTCTTTTTCATTCATATAGCAGAAAAAAAGTCAAGAATACATACAAAAATTATCAGGAGCTCAATCACAAGCTCTGTGCATGGATTATACCAAAGAAGATTTAGGTCTGTTTGTTCCATTCATAAAAACTTCTTAGATCAAGTATAACAATAACAAACAAAGGCATAAAAGTTTACAGCTGTTGACTTCTTCATCTCCAGTCAAAAAATCATGTTCCAGTCTTGGGCCACACACATATAGGAAGGAGTATTTTTATTTTCCTAAAGGTAGAAAAGAGGAGAAAGGTGTTTTAAGCTAACTGCCTGAAAATAAATCTTTAAGTGTCAAAACTATTGACTAATAGGAGCTCTTCCTGCTATCATTTTTCATAGTGTTTACACAGCTTTTCTACTTTTCATGCCTCAGTTTAGCAGCTAAAGGGAAGCACTCCGAAACAATATTGCAGTCTGTTTTGAAGTCCTGCGAGCCAGCTGTTGAGCAGAGTTTGCCAAGCCAGAGCCGTTTCTTTGTGTCCATCACTGTAGTATTGCACTGCAATTCAAAAACAAGCTGGAGGTGTCTTTAACAGTTATGAAAGCAGCCATCAAAATGAGAATAGATTAAATGTCTCTGTGGTGATACCTGCAGACAGACTGGAAGATCTCTGTGATGGGTGGGCATCCCTCCTGCAGCAGTGAAGCGTTGAAGATTCAGCCTTCAGGAGATGAGGAACAACAGAGAACGGAGCCATTCGGATGGCTCAGATGGAAATGTGAGCCAAAGCTGATACACCTTCATACAAAGCTCTTGTCAGAGATATTCTCATGCTGTCTTCCTTTGCTGTGTAAGATCTGCCTTTTGAAGGTACGGCGATGTAAAAGGAATGGATGGGGAGGTTGTAGTATACTTCTCCTGCTGTCTTTGTCCTCACAGCATGTCAGAGAAGAGATCCAGTTTGACATTTGTCTTTTCTTGATATTGTGTAGTCTCAAGTCATGCTGCCAAAGGGCTTCATGTCAGCTTCATTGATGGGGCAGCTGGACCTCTGTGAGGAGGTGTGCTGCTTCCAGCCACCCATCACACACAGAGGGACACAAGAAGGGCTACTCTATAGGGTCTTTTTGGTGGCTATATAATTTCTGGTTCCAGCTTTGCTTAAATGAGTGAGTGATGAATGGGAGATTTCCTTCTGGTTTGGCAGCTCCTCCTGGCTCCCAGAGACCACCAGTTTCACACTAGTTACAGCAGCACTAATGAAGATGCTGACCATCTCTGTAGCACACTATCAGTAAGCATCTCGTTGTAATACCAGGACTGAGCCAGGCTGCCTTTATGAGCAGAGCTTGGAAGCATAACACCACATTTCCATCCCATTCAGAGACGTTAATAGCGCATAAGGCCAGCTGACAAGGTGTGGTCATATCACTGAAAAGGCGAATAAATAATTTTATACATACTGGAAATTTTGGCAGGTGCTTGCTACTGCAATGTCTGTGTGGAACTGGGTTATGGAAAAGGATGTAACATTTTAAAAGAATTTTTATAAATTTACATATATATCTTTGAAATACATCTATAATTTCAGTTTATAGGTGCTAACTCCGAAAGAAGAAAAGAACAACAACAACAAAATCATCAGTATATATATGTAAGTAATCTTTGTTATCAGGGATCATTTTAAACCATAGGAGAGGAGACTTAGAAATTAAGATATACCACCTTCTAAACAATAGAGTTAAAATAATAGTAACAGTAGATGCTGGTATTGATTTTAATTTCCTTCTTTCAAAATATAATTTGAATATTTTTGTACACTCAGTCATGTAGTGCACACACAGGCCATTCAGTTTTCTCTTTCTGTCACAAGATACATACTCTTTATTTTTATAGTGTCCCTGCCCATGGCGGGGGCGGGGTTGGACTAGATGATCTTTACAACCCAAACCATTCTGAGTCTATGGTTCTATGCAATTAGTATTGCCATTGGTCCTGGTTTGAGCTAAATAGAACTAATTTTCTATTTAGTGATTTACTTCTCAGCTCTTTTAAGTGACTGAACTTGCTGGAAACTAGCAGCATGTTTTTTCAGCATGTGCTGATACAACAATAAGCTCAATGCCATTGTCTAACCATGGGTGCCATGTCTGCACCTACAGCAGGGGAGCTGACTCAAAACTGACCAGCTGGGTATTCCATTCCACATATGTCATACTCGGTATAAAGCCGAGAGATCACGAGAGTCTCAACCCTTCTTCCGTCTTGGAGCCCTTCCATCTTGGACCCTTCCATCCATCTCAATCCTGCAATGGCTGAAGTCCAAGCAGAACCCTACTGGTTTGTCTGCCTCTGATCCCAATTCTTGTGTTCCTGCATCCTGCTCCCACCTGTTGCTGAGTTTGGTCTGGGACTTTTCCGGTGCCCTGCTCCACGGAGCCTCTGGTGACATATTCGTCGTGGGGGG